CCAATATAATTTCTTAAGAGTCCATATGCATAGCTAAAGGCTACATAACAAGCAACAATGCCAGATAGGAGATACCTTCCTTTGAGTTGTTGGCCAGGGTGGCCAAAGAGACTCCCAGAAAGTAACCCAGTGTAGAAAAAAGAAAAGAAAAGAAAAGAAAACAGTGGCAGATGCTTTAAAAACTTTTAAACATGTATTTCTTTACTGAGTATGAAGGGAAGGGTGCACACATGGAGGTCAGAGGATAATTTCCAGGAATCAATTCTCCCCTTCAGCAGTGTGGGTCCAAGCAATAGAACTCAGGTCCTCAGGCTTGATGGCAAAGCACCTGTTGTACAGGACTGTCCTTCAAGCAAAGCAGAGGCTATCTTCCTGAGCTCAGCTGTGCCCAATTGCAAAAGGTCATCACAGCTGGGCTTCTTGATTGTTGATGTCTCAGTATAGAAGGAGGGCAGGGAGGGTCACAGGACTATTACATGAATATCCAGCCACTCCTTTAAACCCATTATGAGCAATTGGGCCCTAAATTTCATGTGGCCTGAGGAAGGACTAGGTATACAGTCCAGGGAAGACTAAGGGAGAGGGCTTCATTTTTGTGGCCACGAGGAAGCCATCATCCATGATGGGTGAAGACTTTCCAGTGCAGACTTGGGGAACAGGAAGGAGGAAGCACCCACACTCTGGTAAGTAACCATTCTCCCACTGCTCTGTAGGCCCAATAAACTCATTAGTTCCCCAGAGTGAACCTTGGTGGAATCATACTCGGATTGTTGTTGGGACCAAGGGAGGAGGGGGTGGGCTTTGTTTACATCTCCTCCTCCAGGAAGGAATTTTAGCTGTAGCACCTTTACCTGCTAAGCAGACTCACTGGGTATAAGATGTAATTAGGAGCCAGTGCAAGACCTGTAGGCACACATGCTATGTACTATGGTAGCGTGAAGGCTGAAAGAGGCACAGTGAGCCTATAGGGCTCAGAGAATCATTTCTGAGATAAATATTGAATATTAAATGCCATAAACACACTTTTTCTAAACAATTGAGGAATCACAATTTTTATTCTGAAGCAAAAGATTTGGGTCAGAACCGCAGTTTTTGAATTTTTTTAAATTGCATTTCTTTGTGTGTTAGAGTGTACATGTGCCATGGTGTACTTGTGGAAGGCAGAGGACAACTTACGGCAATGGTAGTCATGCTTGCTGGTAAGGCCTTTACTTTCTGGGCCATCATGCAAACCCTAGAACCAAAGTTTTAAAGATATACTTTTAAAAAAATTTTTATTTATTATTTTTATTTTATGTGAATGCGTGTATTGCCTGCATGTAGGTAAGTGCACCCGTGTCATGCAATGCCCGCGGAAGTCAGAAGAGGCTGTCTGATCCCCTGGGACTGGAGTTATGGACATTTCTTAGCTGCCATGTGGGTGCTGGGATTTGAACCTGGGTCTTCTGCAAGAACAACCAGTGTTCTTAACCACTGAGCCATCTCTCCAGCCCCAAGATATGATAGACTTTTTTTCAGTGAAGATATTCAAAGAGTCCTTGGCCGGAAGTCACATGTGATCTGATTTGTTGGCATTTCTTCTGAGACCTCACAGGCAAGTGAAGAATTGTGAGGGTCATCCATCGCCCTGTGGCCCTTTTTCCTTGGGCAGTTAGAAACTGGGGTTGGGGAGCCAGGGGAAACCCAGTCCTTCAAGGGCCAAATTCAGCAGTACTCCAGCTTGTCACTGATCAACCCATGAATGCGGCTTCCATAACTCAGAGGGTGAGAGGCAATAAGGGAATAGGTCAGCAGTGAACTACCACTGCTTCTTCCCTCCTCCAGGGATGCTTGTTCCAGACCCAGGGACATCAAGCAGGTGTGCCAGCAGACTAGTTCACATTCAGTTTCTTGCAGATGCTAAATGTAGCCTAGAATTTTTCACATTTTTTTTTTACAGGGTCTTACTATGTAGCCCTGGCTGAACTGGCCTTGCTCTGTAGACCAGGCTGGCTTTGAAATCACAGAGATCAACCTGCGTCTGTCTTCCAAGTGGACTAAAGGCATGTGCTACCATGCCCAGCCACATTTTTTTTTTTTTTTTTTTTTTTGAGACAGGGTCTCTCTGTAGCCCCAACTGACCTGGAACTCACTATGTAGGCCAGACTTACCAACTCACAGAGATCCCCCTGCCTCTACCTCCAGAGTGCTGGGATTAAAGGCCTGTGCCAACACATTTGGCAAACAATTTCTTTCTTTCTTTTGTCTATTTGAGATAGGGTCTCCCTGTAGCCCTAGCTGGCCCGGAACTCACTATGTAGACCAGGCTGAACTTCAACTCACAGAGATCCATCTGTCTCTACCTCCTGAGTGCTGGAATTAATGGCATGTGCCACCACGCCACACTGTCTTATTATCGCCAAGTAACTCAGACTTCGGAGACTGTCACTTGGATTTAACTTTGTTTAAAATAGAATCTTACACTGTGCAGGCTGACCTCAAACTCCCTATGTAACTGAGGATAATCTTGAACTCCTGATCCTCTTGCCTCTACCTCTTAAGTGCTGGAGTTACAAGATGTGTACTTCCTTACCCAGCCTTGAGTTTAATTTTTAGAAAATATTTCTTTATTTTATGTGTATATGTTTTGTGAGTGTATGTATGAGCAACATGTGCATGCAATGTCCATGAAAGCCAGGAGAGGGCGGCAGAACTCCTGGAACTAGAGCTGCCATTTGGGTGATGGGAAGTAAACCCAGGTCCTTTGCAACATCAGCAACTGCTCTTAATTGCTGAGCCATCTCTCCAGCTGCTAGATTTATTTTTTTATTGAATTTTTGTGTATTTCATACACAACATCTTAATCATCTTTATACCCCCTTCCCCATCAGCAGCCTCCCATAGTCCTCCCACTGGAGTTCATTCATTTAATGTTAAGGCCTATCAAGTCAAGTTAGTGGATGGTCCTCAGTGTGAATTCATCCACTGGGGTCTAGTCAGCCTATCTAGAGTCACTCCCTTAAAGAAGATCAGCTCTTCCTTACCTAGTAGTAATCAGCTACCAATAGTTCTTTGGCTAATATTGGGGCCTGATGCCCATTTCTACAGTTCTATGCTGGGTTTTTGTCTGCTTGAGTTTGCATGGGTCTTGTTCATGCTGACACTATTGCTGTAGGTTCATATGAGCAAGGTTCCAGGAGCCTGTAGGACTCTATTTCCGTATGGTCATGCACTGCCTCCCTGGCTCTTACAATGCCCGCCAAGGACAGAAGAGGCTGTCAGATCCCCTGCAACTGGAGTTATGGACAGTTGTCAGCTGCCATGTGGGTGCTGGGATTTGAACCAGGGTCTTCTGCAAGAACAGCCAGTGTTCTTAACCGCTGACCTTTCTTGTTTGTAGAGACTCGGATCTGCTGGTGGACAAGGGAATGATTGAAGGCAAAGGACCAAACTCTCAAGTGGAGAAAGGCAAGTTTAAGTCTAAGAGTGGCTCTTTATACCTCATGAGCAGGGTCACCCAAGGATACAGCGTGTAAAACATAAATCAAGCAAAGTTCAAAGTAAAATGTTTTTCTTTTCTGTTACTAACTAAACTCTTTCCCAGAGCTGAAGTCCGTGACAAAGGAAAACACAAGCCTATCCCCTATCATTCTTACTGTCCCAAGGCTGTGTTCTGCCCTTGACTGGGAGGCGGTGTTCCGCCAATGTCCAAACGTTCTCTTGTTTTCCAAGAGACAGCTGGACGCTATCTTGTCTTTGATTCGCCTTCTGCAGAACTGAGCTCCATCACTTGTTATTGTATGTCATACGTGTTCTTGGCACAATATTTCCTGTAAATTCATTTCCTCCATTATTTCAATACTGAATAAAAGCTCGGGGCTGTGAAGGCTCTGCATTTGCTGACCATGAACCTCAGATCCTCTCCTTAAAGCTTCATCTGTGTCCCATCCTTCTGAGTCTCTACTCACTCAACTACTACACCTCTGAACTGAAACACATTCCCTTCCGGAGGGAAGACAGGCTCACAAGGCTCATGAAGCTCAAGGAAGGAGGTGCAGGAAGCTTGGAATGTACAGTAGGCCTCATCAAGTTATAGAAGCAATAAACAATTACTAGGGGAAAGGAATCTCCAATCTGAGTGGAAAGCTCTAGAGTTGCATGTTTCCTGAGATGTCATTCATGGTGGGATGGGCCTTTCATGATAGACATGGAGAGTGACTCATAGTCTTACAGGCAACCCTTCACCCACATAAGTAACCCCAATAAATACATTTAAACTAGACTTGTGTGGGAGTCTTTGTCCTCAGGGCCCTGTCAGGAATGAATAGTCATTTGTTCATCTCTCCCTCAGAAAAATCACACAACACCAAGATACAAAAGACCTCTCCGAAACAAACAAAACTTGCTTCATCAGGCTTGTCCATTGTGGGATGAAGGAGGGGAACTATGTTGGGGAAATGTCAGTGAACTTGACTCCTGCCCCTGCGATGGAAGAGTCTTCAGCTGCACACCCCCTACACGTCTCCCTTCGCTCCTGTGGGCTAGACGCTCCACTCCACCCTTGGGGCCCCCGGTTCTTCTCCTCACAGTCCCCAGTGGGGCCCAGCGGGCTGCAAGGACCGCCAGCCCAGAGCACGGGCTGAGACTCCACCCACCAGCTGGGCATCCAATCGGATCCTCGCCACCGCTAGGCCGCAACCCGGGCTGCCACCGCGTGGGGAGGCTCCGCAGAGCTGGAACTGAGCCGTGTCAGGTAAGATGCGGCTCGAGAGCCCCGGCGGGCGGGCGCGTGGGGAGCCTGGAGGGCGGGCGCGTGGGGAGCCGGGAGGGCGGGCGCGTGGGGAGCCGGGAGGGCGGGCGCGTGGGGAGCCGGGAGGGCGGGCGCGTGGGGA